TAATTTCACATTATTTTGTGTCTTCTCTCTGTTCACTTTTAGTACATATTGGAAATAAATAGATATCACAGAGCGGTTGTGCATCTAAAACCACACATTTTAATTTACAGTTTTATCATAGGATAAACCATAAATTATAAAGAACACACAGCGACAACCACTCACCCAGTCAGTAGTTGGAGGCCCTGATCCTGGGGACTTTGAGGTCGAGCACATAGCACAGTGGTTGTCCATGTCAAACACTGGCACATAATAAAATTATATTCAGTCACATAATGTGTACATTTGTAAGTTTATTGGCAGCTTTGTTTCTGTAAAATTATATGTAGCTTGTTAACTGGATCAGGATTAAGATCATTTGCTACTTGGACAATAATACTAATGCTAATACTGGTGAAGCTGGTTTATACACCAGATTGACACTTTTTTTAACATGTAAACACATCCAAGAACTATAAATGGCTCCTTAAAATTTGTCTGGCTGCCATTACATTTTTAACCCTTTTTAAAACTGAAATTTTCACGATAGTAGCTCAAATAAAAGTCAATATGAAGCAAACAATGAGCTCAACTGCAGATTGAGTGTACGTAAGCTAAATCAGGCAAAGTTTTTATTGAAACAATCAACACTAAATCCATGGTTTCGAAGGAGAGAGGACACTGAAACAGCGTTAAGGCTTCGATCTTGAGAGCATGTTTGTTATTTTACATGTTTTATTTACATTTAGAGATAAATGAAGGAACATCTTGAATGTTGGTTTTCTTTTTATTTATGAATTGCAGAGATATTCAGTTGTCAATATCCATTGGACTGACTAAATCAACTCCAAAGTACTCAATGTGTATTGTGCAGCGGTATCTAGGACCTATCTGAAGACTTAGTATTGGCATATACTCATCACAAATAACTGCAAGAAACAGCACAACAAGCCTGATTTTTATTCTCCCAATTATTGCAAATCTTTTTTTCGACAATAGCAGAAATGCATATTCTTTTCATATTTCTGATATTATTTATTTGTATTGTCATCTAACAAACACAATTGAAAACATTTTACTTGTAAAACAATTGAATTGGTGATGAAAAACAATTCTGATGATGCCACAATTGAACTCTGATCATCCTATCCACTCAGCAGATAGCCTCAGACTCCCTCTGCTCCTAGCCATCTGCCTGTCATTCAGTTTCCCATCAGCTTCCATGCATACAGAAATCAATGATTCATTAAGATTAAGAAATCAATGATTCTGGGGAATATGAAAAGCTGCATTTTGTGAACTCATTTTCAGAGGCTGTAGTTTGTTTAGATGTGTTAGAGAGAAAATAAGTTTATCAGTTATACAACAAAACTCAAACCTTTAATATCATTTAAAGGGGAAATTACTTTCTTACCTGAACCACTGAGTAAAGATAGTGCAAGCTTTGTCCTCTCAAATGCCATCTCCTTCTTGGATGTCCCAAAGGACATAACTGGCAATGCCAGAAAGGCCTCCATCAGGACCTTGGCCATCTACACCAACACATAAAATGAAGCATTTCATCTTTATTGTGTTTCACAAGAATAACTTGGACTTTTCTAATTGAAAAAAAATAAAATCAAAGTACTGTTATACTTGTAATATGTAAATGACAAAGTGCATGAGCTGTATCTACAATTATCCCTCTCTTCAATCACTTTTACCAAAAGTTACATGTGAATTTATTTTTCACATGTTTTATAACTAAATCCATTTAGACAACCTCTAAAGACTCTTAAGTACTACTGCACTTAGTTAAAAGTACCCCCGGTGTAAAAAAAAAAATTAATGCATGTCCACAAGTCCTGTTTGTGCATATTTGTATTTCGGGCATGTGTGTGAGAAGCATGTCTGTCAATAACATAGTGTAAACTAGAATTTCCCAAAAGGGAATATATATATATATATATATATATATATATATATATATATATATATGGCAAATGGCTGTTCATCATGAGTCTGGTTTTCCCCAAGATTTCTGGAAGTTTCTTCTTGCTACTGTAACTTTGTTAAATGTTGTAAAGTGCTTATGATGGATTAACATTGGGTCTTTTTAATAAAGCAATGAGTAAGGTCTTTTACCTGCTTTTTTGTAAAGTGTCTCAAGATAACATTTGTTATGAATTGGAATTTTAAAAATAGTGATTATATATATAGTTTGTTGCCTTGGGTCAACCTTGACAGCACTCAGGATGTAACCTGGCACCTCTCCAGCAACCAGACCAACTTCCAACTCCTAACCCAAGTCCCTACAGACTGAGCTTCTGCTGCCTATTAGTAGTTAATATGATATTTACAACTTACACTTTTTCAGACAAGCACATTGAAGTATCAATCATGACAGTTTCCTACTGACCTCCACATTAAAAATATTAATAGCAATTTACATCACGTATACATTGTCATTACCTTGGTGACAATGACCCCACAACTGCTGCTATCGCATTGAAATAGATGGTGCATGCTTGCTCCTTTCCATCTGACAGCCCCCCAGCCATCCCTGCCATAGCATATGGCTCTCATCTTTAAGTAATCCCTTTGGAAAACATCAGGATGTAATAAAAAAAAACATGAAATACCAATCACAAAGTACGATACCAGAGGCTACAGTCATATTTGAAAATGTTCACCTTCAGCTCAGGAGAGATTCCTGTGCTCATTGAATTGCTATCAATGAGCACAGAGGCCTGTGGTGTATCAGTAAACAACCTGACTGTGTTGTGGATGGAATTGCTGCCACTTCAACCTCTGTTGTCTTCTGTTTCCACAATGATTTTAGATGAAAAAACAAATAAAAATAAAATGTCATTTATTAGATATAATCAAATTAATATTACTGAATTAATCATACATTTCACAAAATGTAATACATTTTATGACAGAACTGCCAAAAGACAAGTCAAAAAAGTATTTCAAAACACATGACAATACATGTAAAACTAAATCATCAGGTATTCTATCATGTATCTGAATATTCAAAGTTATTGTATCTCCTAGGCAATTGACTTATATTTTTCATGTTGCATATCCATGTGTAAAATAACACTCTGTCCTGAGTGATGAGGATGCCTCCTACCTGGTCTTCTTCATTTTTAGGGATTTGAGACTGGCAGGCTGGCTTCTGAAGTTGTTGCTCCTAGAATATCTTTACAGGCTCTTTCCATGTGCTTTACGGACGGCTCATCATTGTTCACGAGGTGAACCACTAGTTGATGAGGGTGAACCTTTTTCTGCTTGGTCTAAGTCCAACCATATCAGAATCATTGTCTACTTATGGAAGAATTTATTTTTACAAGACATCAAAGTCATAAAAAAGACTCATTATAGTGATTTATAAGGGACTTTGACAGTGGATTTCTCAAAAAGTACGCAGTAAAAGTACTTCATAGTACCTGTGCACGTAGTATAGGAAGTACTAAGTCCAACTATATCAGAATCATGGTGTACTTATGTAAGAAAATATATATAATTATTGCTTTCTCCAAGAAAACTGCTGTTTTTTAAATTGTGAACACCTTATTTTGAAAAACGGAAGTTGCCGCAGACTCGCAGAATTATTCTCACACTAACTTCCCCGACCTCCGAAGCTATTCCCTGAACAGTATTCTGTTTGCTCCCGTTTCATACGCGTGTATCTCATAGTCAGTTTTATGGTAAGACCTAGACATTCAGCACTTCACTTCATCGCTCTCTCTGTCTGTTACTGCTGCTCGCTCTGCAGTCCGGAGCATTTACCATAAAGATCAGAATACGTTGGCACTTGAAATTTCGGGGCAGCTCACTTCATCATGTAAACTCGAGGAGCGGCTGGCTTGACCGCAGTGCTAATTGGTTTGGGACGGACTTAATATGGCGGACCCTCCGCGAGGACACGCAAACAGAGGGGTAGTGGGTAGGGAGGATTACAAGGATAAAAGGATTACATGTTCAGATGGAGTATGGCTAATAATTGTTATATTGGTAACCTGACAAGGTTAGAATGTAACAGACATGATCTTCAGGCAGGAAATGTGTAGTGGATCCAGACAGCAGGTTGATGCAAAACTAAGACATCCTGAGAATGAAATGTTCCTTTCTATTCTTTGCCTGTCAATCACAAATGATGCAGAGCTTAGCAAATGTCAGCATGGAATTCAAAAGGCTTGTCAATGTGCATGTCATGTCAGGAAGGAATGTGGGAAATTGCTTAGATTTAAATCACTTAATTTGTTCAAGAGCCCAGAATGGAGAACAGCATTATAGTGCCAAGAGCTTCCAGATCATATTTATGAGAAACTCATATCTGGGCTTTGACATGTTACATACTCACTACAAAATTGTGATTTATGTAGATCTGTGTGGATAGATGACATGAAGCAGAAAATTGAAAGTATGTAGTAAAATGTTTTTTAGAATGCAGGTGTTCACAAGTCTCGTCCTCCAGAGCTCAGTGCAGGAGTATCCAATTAGATTAAAGCTATCGGATTGGATCAAATCTTGAAATCAGGTAATCCCATCTTCGTTTTTTACTGAGTTAAATCCCACATTTTGTGTTGTTAAATCTTTTAGTAAAATTAAGGTGAGATGGCTGTCTGATGAGTTCTGCTTGAAGTTTCTGCCTGCTACTGCCACTAATACTTGGTTAAATATTGACAAGTGAATATAGTGGAATAATGTTCTGTCTCTGTAAATAAAATAAAAAGTACAGTCTAGACTTGCTCTTTTAGTAGAGTGTCTTGAAATAGCATTAGTTATGAATTGAAACGATACAGATTAAGATTGATTGAAGAATTGTCCTGAAATTAAATATCACTCATCACAGTCACTCTTTTGGGTGTTGGTTGGTGCATTCAATCTGTGATGGAGGAAGATCCAGCCTCGGCTTGTTGTTCCTTGATTTAAAAAAAAAGAAAAAAAAAAGCTTCATGCTATTATTCGCCAACAAAAATCTAGTTGTGGATGTGAAGAGTGCCTAAATAATTGATGACTAAAACTTTGAGTTGAAGCCACATAATCAATTAGCGTTTATTTTCACAAGCACGATTTGTTACACAAAAATAGTGGGTGACATTTACGCAATTTATACAGTTCTAGAACTCAATGTACAATTAACAGACTAACTAAATACCAATAGTTGAATATGTTCTCACATTGCACACAATATGATTAAAACTTACACAAAAACATTTACTGTGGGAAAGTCACACAAGTTGACATAAAAATCACATTATTTACAAAAACCATCAATTTAAGATCTTTAGCAAAATGGACTGAAATGATTTCATTTCAGGGTTCTCCCATCTATCTGTCAGACACACTATACAATCTATCATGTAAAAGCTCCCCAGCTAAAAAGTGTAATTCAGTCTCTTTTTTTTTAAATGAAATATAATAAAGTAATAAAGTCAAGTAGCCAGAGCTGAAAAACACCAAATACACTAGTAAATACTGCACTTTGCTTGAACAGCATGGTGGTTTTTACCCTTTAATGCAGGCTGGTGAGATGAGCAGTTAGCTTAAAGAAGTGCACTTTGAGCCTTAGCTTAGCAAATGTCTGCAATGAGTTCCTTTTTTTCTTAATTTACAAATAAAATATTTTTCTACTGGCATCACATTTCCCCTGGAGTCATGGACATCACTACTTCAAGGTTACATAGTTTGATTGGTGGAGAGAGAGAGCAGCACAGAAGGGAAACAAAAGTTTGTGTTCTCCTGCTGCTGCTGCTTGGCAGGGTCAGTGATGGTGTGCGACACGTGAGAGTTCTCTACAATCACTGCAGGTATGACCAGAGGAGATCAACTATTTCTTTATGGGATTATACCAAGGGCCAGATGCAAGAATTAAGATTTAAAAAAGCAGAACTTTTGCTCTACAATGTTCTCTGAATCTTTGTGAACATGTATGGAGATAGGATAGTAGTGATCAATTTTGGCATCTTATCATTTCTGTCAGTATTTTTAAGTGTGGGGGAAAGAAAGGTGTTATTTACATAGAATCTGCATAATGATAATATACTGTTTTAATGTTTACAGCTGACTAAGCTAACCAATCTAAAGCCTCTGCCACAGCTATAAACTGTGTCTAAAAGGAAGTCTGATTCTCTCTGCTGTGTTGTTGTCACAATCAGTCAGAATGGTTAAATTAACCTTTTAATTGACAGATTATAGTGGAATTGTCCTGGCTAAAAATAATGCACACAGTGAGCACTCACGAATAGATAAGTAAACCTTAGATGGTTGAACAAACATTCAGACAACTTTGGGATATTTTCAGCAATAGGATCCCTTATAGGATCACCTATGAGGGAGGACAAGTTGAAAAGGTGTTTGTGGCTAACTAACTCCAATGATATCGATTATGAAATGAAATGATGGATAATCAACATGTTCTCTTAAAATAACACAAAATATATATAATATATTGTTAACTTCCTCTCCCGCCTATCAATGTCTGTGGGTGGGTCTGAACAGAAGCCTTTATTGCTCTAAAGATGTTAAGATAAGCATGGTGCCTTTTTACAGTTGAAATGAATGTTTGGAAAAGCGCAGTACAACTCTGTGTCACATACACACAACACCATCACTAAGAATACCAAGAATAGTTTGTAGATTCATAAATAATGAATAAGTTCCTATGTACTGCAGCACATGTGGGTTATTGGAAACATCAGATGTGCATGTCTGCATAGAACAAGTGAAGAGGAAGGACAGTGTGCTATCAGAGATAATCTGATCTGGACCTGAACATGCCTCTTTGTATAAACCCCCTCACTGGACTCAACTGTGATGTCATTGTTTATGTAAAACTTCCTTCTGGCATTCATTTGGCTGAGTAGTTAATGCTTTGCACTTCTCATCTGTATCTTACAAAACGTCCCAGCTATGCCCTTAAGATCAGAATGATATAGCTTCATGTTACACTCAGATGTAACTGTTCTATCGTTAAAACAAACCCTGACAATCCAGAGGACAAAGACAGCAGCAAACAATCATGCAGTTCTGTACATTATTGGATGTAGTGTATCCAGCCCTTGGTACAATCATAACTTTCAGTCATCTTGTTACATGAATGTGGACGTAGCTTTATCGACTAACTGGCTGCATTTGGTCATGAAAGTCTCCACTCTTTGTTTAAAAACTGAAATGTCCTATAGAGCTTTCACGGGTTACTTGATGTTCCTTCCATCTGACAGCGTGCTTCTTATTTGCAGTGATTTATGTTCACAGATACATACAAAAGGCCTTGCAGTCAAAGCGTTTGTGAAATGTGTTTGTACGTGTGCAAATGACAATTGCACCCAGACATTCACCGTGCTGCAAATCCCCCCGTGTCTGGGTTGTCTAGCAATTTACAAAAACTAAGACAACATGAGAGATGAACATCAGTCCTGTTCTGAGAGGGCGATGTTTGGGTTAGGGGGATTTACTCAGAGAAGGGTGGAAACATGCCAAGATCAGCAAAGTCTTCGATGTTGTAGTTGGCAGTTCCCTGAGTGGGATCTCCAGCCATAGGCAGCATGTCCTGCAGACAAAAGGAAGGCTCAAGGTCATATTAGATCACATATTAGTCACATGTCAGCAGTCTGACATGCTTCAGACAGGTTGCTCAGTGTGTGTGTGTGTGTCACCTGGAAGACTTCTGTCTGGCTGGGGTTGGGGTGTGTGTGCTGTTCTCCAGCCTGCTGGGAGTGATGCTGGCTCTGCCACTGGGACCAGACCTCACCAGGCCGACCCTGGAACTGGGCTCCACTCTGACTGCCCTCCCCCGAAACATCTGGCAACACAAACAAGGCAGGTACATGAGGCCAGCTCTGCTAATGGTTCAGTTAAGGTTGCCAATGTTTTTGTGCAATTTAGACAGTGTGCAGGAGTTTTTATTTGACAATAATCATATTCAAGATTAAAATTCATGACAACCCTACAATGTTAACCAGTTTCTGTACTTCTGAAATGATTAATAAGACACTAATCTATAGCATATATAACAGTTGATTAATCAGAAGAATCAACAACTCTTAACACAATGATTCATCTTCTCTTGAGCTAAATGTCCATAATGTTGTGTTAATCATATACCGTAACAACGGGATTGTTTTGACCATGATCATGTAAAGACGAATTAAAGTGTGCTTCATCTAGAAGCTACAAAGCTCTTTAAATATGCATCATACAGATTTATTCATGAATGCATACCTTCTGCTGCTGTAAATATTAGAATTGACTCAGTATTGATGAAAGTGATCTCCCTGATTTCCGACTCTATCCACTGTCCTATCTACCTATAAATCTTTAAATTAAAAAAAAAAAACAAGCATTAGCTTAGAAAACACCAGTAGCAACAGAATGAATTCTGTTACATAGTGTTTATTAAGGATAAAAGAACAACTTTATTTACACAATATTATTTTCAGACAGTGCTAATGAGTGTAGAAGTACAGCTTTTTGTCATTCATTATGGTCTGCTTATTCAGGGCAGGGTCGTGGTTGTTGCAGGCTAAAAAATGTTTACCAGCTTCTCTTGGGGGAATCCAAAGGTGTTCCCAGACCAGACGGGATCTATAATCCCTCCAGCGAGCTCTGGATCTAACCCTGGGTCTCCTCCCAGTTGGACGTGCCCAGGTATCTATCACCTCTGGTCACAAGACTAGCTATTTTGTCCAATTTGATGGCTGCAGAATAAAAGACACTCTTGCACATCAAGTACCCAGATGGTTTTCTCTCCTCACTTTGCTTTCCTTCAGGAAAATGTTTTATTTTCAGCAACAAGTTAACACAAGAGAATATCAGATAATAGTTAGACTTAAACCAATTATGGTCAGTTATTTTAAACAGAGAAAACTAGCAGTAAGGCAGGTTTTTTTTGTCATTCTTTTTTGAATTCAGTAACTTGGTCTACATAAAATCATGAATCCAGTATTTCTTTTTTTTCTGAACAACGTCCCAAAACTTCCTTGGCATTACATCATGTTCAACTTACACATGCGTAAAAGAAGCCTTAAAGCCCTAAAGGTTTGAAATAGAGGAAAATGGTTAAAACTACATGGCAGACTGAATCTGGAAAGTTGTGATGACATGTGTGGAGGCTGTGGTCCTCCAGGCGGGCGGCCTGGGTTCCCGCATGTCAATCCCCACTAGGGCTGAAACGATTCCTCAACTAACTCGAATAATTCAAGGCCAAAAATCATTGAGGAAAATTCCTTGCATCGAAGCATCGGACGTCACTCCTTAGCGTCACCACACGCTGCATAAAGTGTCTGTACACGACCACTACGATCTCCGTGCTCTAATTAAACGTCTGCATTGTGTTTTCTGTTGGTCAGTATGTTGTTCTCCTCTCTTTTGTGGATGTTGTCATTCCATTGGATTACACATAGCATTCATATAAAGACAAATATTCTCATTATAACGTCGAGTAGTGGACTCTGTTGCTTCGGCCGCTACTCTCTCTCTCTCTCTCTGTCAACACTCCTCAGGGAGAGAGGGATTTTTTTTAAAAAAAGGCAGTTTTGCTATGTTGAACGCAGAGACTTATAATACAGCGGCTCTGATTGCACGGAGCCTGCAGAGCGTGCGCCTGCACGCTCTCTCTCTCTCCCCTGCTCCCTCTTGCTCTCTCAGGCATGCAGCAATTTTATGAATAAATGAAAAATTTAATAAGAACAGGTCGGAAATATACTTGGGCCCAGGTCTTTGTGTGGGAAACACTGGAGACTAAATATTCTCAAACAGGTTGTTGGTATAAAGTTGTCATTTTTATTGTGCTGCACTTTTTTTTTGATTTGGGTAAATGTCAGAGTTGTGTTAGTTTAAGTGCCAGTTCTAGCGCTAGCCCTTCGTAGTCCTATAGTGTAGCTGCCAACAGTCAATAATAAATAACCTCCTGCGTAAGATGTGTGTAGAAATAGGCCTACAGTGTATTTTAACCATAATGGTGGTACTTGGAGAGCCAAATATTTTCGGAGGTGGTACGCAGTCTAAAAAGTTTGAGAACCACTGGGTTAGATAATATTATACAATTTAAGCAATGATAATTTCTTTTTAAAAACTGTCTCTTGTAAATTGACTATTGCTCTTTAAAAAAACAAAAGTATTACTTATCCGAATACTCGATTAATCAATAGAATAATTCAGAGAAGATGTGAGAAAGCCTGACTAGAGTTAACGAGCCTGCTCAGACACGTAACGAGCTCGGACCGTATAAAGCACGTGGCTTACATGCTGCAGAGCGGAGTGTAGGAGGAGCAGAGCAGCTGCAGGAGCAGCCTGGACATTTAAGTTATATGTTTGTGCGTTAATGCAGAAAAGAGTAACTTTGTTCATATTTACTTGATCTAGTTTCATATATGTACTTACTAAAGTTATTATCTTCATTCTATTCCAGTTAAATTGCATCAAGTCTTTCTTTGATACATTTTTCAAGATTGGTTGTTATTGCAAAAGGGACATCATATATTGTATATGCTATGATGCACATTTGTGTTACCTACATATATATATTTTTTCCTTCTTTCCTTTAGAACCACACACACATACATACACACACGAAGACACGTAGATCGATCCTCATAACTACACGGAACCACGAATGAGACACGAGACAGAAGATATGCCAATCTCCTTTGTTCAAAGTGGCCTCTGTAAATCTACGTGTCTGTCACGGAATAAAACCCTTGAGCTGTGAATCCTCTCTGCTGTCCTGATTCTCTGACCGGAATCATTTTCCATATCTGCCGACCCAAACTAAAGAACTTTCCAAAGGTTCAACCTTTATTTCAGAAGATTAAAGTTGTTTGTTGCAAAAACTAGATTAATTTAGAGGGGAAAACACATTTGATATAAATACAACCCAATAGATACAAGACAGATAAGATAAGTCGTTTTATGCTGAACAAGTTTTTTTTTTATATTGTGGATATTTCTTTGCGTACCACCACAGGGAGCCTGCGTACCACCGGCGTACCATAGTTTGAGAACCACTGAAATAATTGATAGAATACTGATAGCTGCAGCCCTATTCCCCACTCTATCTCCCTGATTTCCAATACCAAACATTGATGCTAGATGGCAGCATACGACTTTGTAGAGGTACTGATTTGACTTCATACTAGAAGTTAAAAAAAAGAAAAGAAAAAAAGAGGGTCAAAACAGAGCAACACACTAAAGTGCTGAAAGTTGAATAGCCTAGATATGTGAAGATTTATTTTCATTTTATTGGATTTTTAGACCTGGGATTGGTCATTTTGGACACTGGATGTTGAGATGAGGCACCGCAGGTTGCCTTTAATTATTATTTTTTAAGCCTTATCTAATAGTATTGTATACACAACATAGCATTAGCTGTAAGTATGCTCCTATAACTATTTATACCAGTTGGATAACACCAGCTCATACCCTGTACCACACAAGTGGGATATTTCAAAAAATAACTCAAGTTTTGAGGTTTATTTTTATTTATTTTTTTTTTTAAAAAGGAGGGCTCACCAAAAGCTGTGCTGCGGTTCGTCAGTCCTGAGTAGGCGTTGCCACTTGGTGAGGAAGTGGCTGGAGACGACAGGGGACTGTAGGAGGCCGGATCAGTCTGGTAGCTGTGACCAGAACCAATACCAAATGGACTGGACTGGGCTTTACTAGACTGAAGAGCACAGATACAGGTTACGAGATGAAATGTCTGGGCCATGACAGTACATTCAGTTCAAGCACAAAAAAATCAAAATGAAGTTTAAGGTCAGTGCAGCCATGTTTTTTTATTTTCTAGTCCCTTCCAAGCAAACAATGATAACTCGACCATAATATACAGAGACATGAAAGACTAAAACATTCCTTTTTGAAGTGGGTTTTTATGGACTTATTCATTGTAAATATATTAGCCACATGAGATGCTGGTCAGCTTGGCCCGGAGAATAAAGCACAGAGCAGCAGCATGAATATGGAGATGTCCAAATGATATGTATACATTTCATATACATACATATAGTTATACAAATTAGTTTATTTATTTGGATGTCATGTTTTTAGATTTGTATATTTATAAATGTATGCATATCATTTCGATATGTATATATCTTTTTGAGACCATTCTATCTCCATACATGAAAGACAAAAATAAAGAACAGCAAAGAGAGACTGCAGGGTCTATGAGGCCTGCACCATAATGCAAACTGTAGCAGGTGATGTGGTGTTTTATGATCCTCTCCATGACCTTTATGGCAACAGAGGTGAGGGCCTCAGACCTGATGTCATTCAAAGTTCTTGGCACAGTGCCTCAGGGTGCAGCCACTGATGTTGTCTGGACCAGGTGAGCTGTTCTCTCTGGTCCTTCTGAGGACTCTCACCACATCCTCTCTGCTGAAGGTGAGTGCAGAGTCACTAGGTTTCTTCTAGCTGGGTAGTGTTGTCCTTCTCTAATTTTGTGTAGAATGAGTTGAGGTCATTGGGGAGAGATGAAGGGCTGCTGACTGCAACCTGGATGGCTTTGTGATTGGTGGTAGCAGTGTTCACAGCGGCCATGTTTCTGAGGCGCTGTCGAGCTGAGCGGAGGTTCCCCTGTGTGGAATTTTCCTCCACATGATTTTTCAGTTTTGGTAGTTCTAATGAGCGGAGCTTGACAGGATTTCCTGTGGCTAATACTCTTTCCATTGACAAGTACTTCATACAAACTGTTAATACTGAGTTCATATCATTTTTGTATTCACATTGAAAATAATTCAAAAAGTTTCACTTAGTTGGCTTACAACAAAACAAACCATTTCCTTGTCATTTTATGTCCCTTTTTCTTACAGGCAGTTAACTGCAGTAAATCATTAAACAATCACCGGTAGATATAAAACGTATCTCAATCTTGATGCAGTAAGCCAGAAAGATTATTTTTCCCTCATGTTATCCAGCTGCAGTTATTGTGATGCATTTAAAGGTTGCTGATAACATTTGTTTCAGTCCAACTGCTAGACATGCCTCATGGTTTGTGTAAGACAGAGCCTGTGCATATATTGCCAGTCTACTTATTGATAGTCACCAGAGAGAAAAATGACTGCGGCAATCATGGCATCCATGGAGATTGCGGACTATTATTGACACATCAGAAAAATGTTTGACTTTAGTGATAAACATCAAGTGTGGGGGCGCGCGTCCCATGTATTGAGAGCGGTAGGCCCGGGTTCACTTCCACCCGTGGCCCCCCTCCGCATGCCATTCCCCGCTCTCTCTCCCTGGTTTCTGACTCTATCCACTGTCCTATCACTGCATTAAAGGCACGAAAAGCCCAAAATAAATCTTAAAAAAACAAAAAAAAAAAACATCAAGTGTGTATTTGTGTGTATACGTATGTATTTGTGTTACCTGTCCAGAAAAGGGTGGGCGATTGCCTGACCATGCAACCTGGCCTGGGTTGAGTTGTCTGGTGATCTGTGCTAGATTCTGGTTGGATGAGGTTGACTGCTGGATGTCATTCACACCAGGGACATGGATCACAGAGGAGCTTTGTGTGCACAAGAACAAACAGAGTTATCATTAGACTAAAGCCCAATTCACACATGCGCTGCAGTCTGTCAGTGCCACGCACTACGTTGTACTTAGCTGCCACTCTAGTCAATCATTGTGTTCACACAGTGCGTGCTGCGGTCCATCTCCGGAGCGTACCACCATTGGCACTGTGCTCTGCTCCGTTTCAAATACATAGCGAGTCTATTTTCACCGGAGTACACTGCAGGCACGCGTCAAGCTGGACAGAATATGACAGCCTGAACAGGAAGTCAGACAAGGAAACGCACAGAGCATCCGGTCAACTTCAAAATAAAACACAATATACGGACACACGATCGTATTTTTCATCACTTTATCAACATGACGTCAAGACAGGAACCGAATTAACAACAATGCATCCTCAGAAAGACAAAGCAACATGTTTGCATGTTTTTCTCTTTATTCCCACGGGATCTTGTAGTTCTCCTGTGATGTGTCATGGGTGTGTTCCTGCTGCGCTGATGTCGCAAGAAACGGATCCAGTGTGAATGGGCAATAGCCGTCCGACGGAGCAAAACCGTGGCGCTGACGGACCGCGGCATGCACGGAGTATGTGTGAATTAGGGGTAAGAGAGCCCCACTACCATCACATCAGAGACGTATGCAATCACTAACATGTACCTGAAGCTTTTGCCAGAATGTCCCTGCTGAAAGGGAGAGCTTTGCGAGTAGAGCTGCTGTCCTCCAGCTGTAGAGGAGGGAACCATCATCTTCTTATCTGCAGCTACACAAACAAACACCATGGTTAGTATGATAGAACTAAATAATAATGAAAGTACCCCAGAGACAGACAGGATGTATGCATGTGCTATTTGTTTGAGTTTGATGATATGTCATACAGCCAGAGATGCCGGTGTACATCTCCGTAAAACGTGGGTCTCTCTCCTGAGAGAACAATGCTTCTGTCTTGTCAATGTTCTTCCCTGCCTCGTGCACTCCACTGCTGACACTGGCCACAGGCACCTGGAATTAAAGTGGGGGGGCTTTCATTACTATTGTCTGTATCTTTACATGACTTGTTGCTATAAATATATAACAGTCAACATTTGTTCCTGAAACTTAAATTTCATTATTTCAACTAAAAATGTAAAAGCCAATTGGAGGCATCAGTCTAACCAGCTAATGTGGGTTCAAACCTGGGAAAGATCATACGCAGTCAGCCCGTCTCTTTGGTGAACTTCAAGTTCTGCCTGCTGCTGCTGCTGTAGTTGCCTGCAAAACAAAAACCCAACACAACAAAATCAGCATCAGGACTTCAAACAGAATTCAATTTAATCTACATTTCATTTTTGCCCATTGTCCATACTACTACACTGAATAACATGGTGAGGATGTTTTCTAAATGACTTTCATAGACAATCACACTTCTATATGCTTCTAAACTGACTGTCAAATGAAATAAAGTTTAATTCATTGGTATGACAACATTTACTTTAAAGTGGAGGGTACTCTGTGATAATAATACAATTATATGCCTAAGAAAATATTAAAATACATATTTTCTTGCTTCAAGTAAAATCATGTTTGTATCTAAAAACAAAATCCACATAAACCCTTCTCACACATACGGAAATCTCCTGAGAAACTCTGGATATATTAGTCTATCTGGAGGGTCTTTCGGCTATATGTGAACACAAACAGCTGAATATTTTGCTTAGACATTACCCAGAGTTTCTCCTCCAGACCCTTCGGCTTTTTCTGCAGAAAGTCCGAGTAAGCTGATGTCTGAATGCTGTAGCATATACTCCAGAGGATTCACCTCGAGCCAAAAAATACATTAAAATAAATACTAAATAAAATAAATTAGCTTCAGCTCGACATTTTTAATCTGAAAATGATGTCAGGTCATTCCTGTATCAGTCAAAGGATATTTATGTTGACCCAAAACCAAAGCAACTTTGAGGAAACAATGGGCCTTAATCACAAACAGTGCGTACAAACAAATCTGTTTTTGAACCGTCCGTACAAACACGTGCCGCACAAATCTAAGAATCATCACTATAGCTTACTTGAATTTGTTCTTACTCTGCAAACAAAAATAGAACTTCCTCAGACTATGCGTACGCACAAATGATTGACCAGCTTTCTCAGAAAATGTAAACATACACTCTTAACTAAATGCATGATGTATTCAAAATACATTCAGTAAAAAAGAAAATGGTATATATATATATATATATATATATTTATTTACTGTGAGGATTCAGGAGGATTGATGATATTGGGCTGTTACCGTAATACATTTTCTGTTTCCTCAGATCATTTGATTGGATGATAAGCATCACTTGTGCCAATTTACACTGAATTCAATGGTCTTTGAGCCTTTCGGTTGCTAAACTTACTATCTTAAATAGAGTAAAAGCTGTGCCAGTTAAAATAGATAAACACATAAATAATAAGCTGTGCAAGTCACCAAATAGATATGCACGTCAGAATTAAATAACAGCTGCATGCAGGTCCGGATAGGATGGCCTCTGGACTAATGGTTAGGTAGGGCCCATGTACAGATGTTAGATAGTCCTCCAAGTGGGCGGCCCTGTTTCAAGTCCGTCCTGCATCTCCTTTACTGCATGTCATTCTCCACTCTCTCTCCCGATTTCCTACTCTATCCACTGACCTATCAAATAAAGGCAAATGCCCAAAACTTCATCTTAATAAGAAAAAAGAATAAAGGGATTTGGTATCTTACACAAAGACCACATGGAGCAGGTAAAATAGATTGTATGTGAGAGGAATAGAAGGACTGTCCAAATAATTACGCCTAATTTTTATATAAATGAAAATTGTATGTTGAAATTAAAAATCTCTGTACTTGGGAGCTGGTACAGTAAAGTCTGTATAATCCGGCTCAACTGATTCAGACATATAGGTTCTCCCTTGAGGAGTGCAACGGATTAAAGCCATTTTAATCAGACACAGCAATAAATAAATTAATTGTTCTCTGATGTGCGGGCGTCCGCGCGGACTCGGCCACGTGGACGCCCGCACATCGGAGAACAACACAGAGAACATGACAGCTACTTTGTGTCTTATATTGTGTCATGTTAGTCAGATACAGACATGAAACTCTGGATTTCTCCATAATGAAGGCTGTCAGCGTTGTTTACCCGCGTGCTTGTGCTCGTGCATGAAGTGTACCGTGCTGAAGCACACCTCTCTGAAGTGAGCCAAAGCCAAGGAAGTGTACCGTGCCTGAGCACGATACGGAGCGGTCACACTGGTCAAACGAACTGGACTTTAGCATTGAAGTGTGCTTGGGCACGGTACGGATGGCCAGTGTGACCGTGCCCTCAGTGACCCCAAAGTTGAGTGGGCGAGTGTTTATATAGCCAGACAGAACATACTTGACATTGGTGTTGGTGCAGATGATATACTCTATCTCATCAGAGTATGGGTTCTGGAAGGTGAAGCTGCTGGTTCGGATCAGCATCCATTCCCTGTTCTTCATTCGGAAACGATACATTACAGATAGAACCTGACCCTTCAACTTGACTACCTGCAAGAGAAAAGACACTGATTAATAATGCTTTGGACCATCATTGTGAATCCTAACCTGAAGGAAAAGCTATCTATTTAACGGTCCATCTACGTTACAACCCTTACCCCATGAACTTTGATAACTTGGCGATATGACAATTTGTGATAACTATTGCAAAGATTAATAAGAATGCCTTTTATTTTGTTGTTTTGTATGACTTAATGGTGTCTGTTAAAGCTGAAAAACACAATAAAAAAAATATTCATAAAAACAGGAATGCTTTTTTATTTTCAGAACAACGGTACATTTTGCAACTCTTTCTGATTCATATTCTTTCAATCTTTCAAACTTTACATTTAATTTGGGCAATGGAGTGGCGCAGGACAGTTACGTAAGACTTCAGCTCCGCATATTTGAAGGCATTCCTGTAAACAAATGCAACTAGACGTGGAAACTTTGGGTTTTCTGAAGAAAAAGCACCAACGTTTAGACCTACATTTAACTGATTTTTTTTTTTTTTTTAACTGATCGTCATTTTTTGGTCAACCAGTCCACAAACGCTAAAGGGATACTTCACCCGTTGAAACATGAATCTGTATTGACATTGGGTCATATATGTAGTAGAAATGTGAAATACTATAATTTTGAAGTTGGTGCCTTCTTGGCCGAGAAAAGACAGAAAGTGTCTTTTTGAATTATGTGGATGAAAGACACCAAATCCCAGAATGCACAGCAACGCAAGCAACTCCCACTAAGGTCAGTTTTACTGACATATTTACTTCAACACATAAGGCCGTTTCCTCAACTGATTCAGAGATTTCTTCCAGAATTGATCTTGGAAATTCCTGTCAGAAAACAGACTCTATGTCTGTGTGTCCACAGTGAGAGCACCGACACTACCAGTCCGCCCCAGCTCAAGCCGGCCCCGGCTGCTGAGCTGGCAGCGGCCAGCAATATAACCGCGAGACAGTTGTTGCTGAAAGGCCGTTTTATTTTTCTCCCGGCTGCTGCGGACAGCGGCGGCCCCTGCGGCCTTGGCGGCCAGTGGCAGTCCCTGGCGGCCAGCGGCCAGCAGCTGCAGCGGCGGCCCCTGCGGCCTTGGCAGTCAGTGGTAGTCCCTGGCGGCCAGCGGCCAGCGGCCAGCAGCTGCAGCAGCGGCCCCTGCGGCCAGTGGCAGTCAGTGGTAGTCCCTGGCGGCCAGCGGCCAGCAGCTGCAGCAGCGGCCCTGGCGGCCAGTGGCAGTCCCTAGCGGCCAGCGGCCAGCAGCTGCAGCAGCCAAGACACAAGACCAGCCTGTCAGCAGCAGCCATCTCGCCACTATATTTATATTTTTTCTCCATTATCAGCTTTCTCCATACAGCCTGTTAGCATAGCTTCCAAGCAATATGGCGGACGTTAAGTTTCAATTCTGGGAGTGAGTTCCCACCCACTGATCTGTAGCTTCAGTGGTTGAAAATATGAGGAACTAGCGTTGTAGTTTCACCCCGCTAACCACAACAACTTCCAGTGATGCAATATGACGATTTCTGCATCACTGGAAGCTCCTTTTCAGACTTTGAAATACAAAGATTTCCCATCTCAGGGAAAATGAGGGCGGGATGCACGACCCTTCAAAAACACGACCAGGTTTCTAATGATACAAAGATTAATGCAAATGGGTGAAGTATCCCTTAAGTTCTCAAAAGCATCTTCGCCCAAATAAAAACACAAAACACACAACACACTGGTACAGCTGTCATAAGCATGCCAAGAGAAAAAAGTTGTCCTTGACATGCAAACATTTTCTTGTCATTCAACTGCAATGACCATTTCATTTACAAAGTTGTCCATTCAGACGCCTCTGCGTGCCAACATATTGGGCGAGCAACTGTGTATGTTTGTGTAAGCATATAAAAAGTCACATAAAAAAAACACATGCTCCCAACCTTCAGTCCCTTTTTATAAATGGGATGAATTTGCAGAACAGGGCTTACCATGTTCTACTAAGGGGTGATGTGAAGGGCAGTCACTACAAGTAGCTCTCAGAGCAGAGTCTGAGAGAGCATCATAATGCAGTCATCAAGTATGACAATATTTTCTCTTCTATCATTAAATATGTAACATTATCAATATATGAACCTGATGTTTAGCTCCTGCTGGTTTTCATTAAGTTTATATTCCCTCTCTTATTACATGTGTTGACCAGCTGTCACTTTAATGTTGCCTGAGATAATAATGAACCAGAAAGCTGTATGAAGTTACCTTCAAGCTAGCACACATTTCCCTCAACATCTGTAGCCTATGGCTACCAAACAGTAGAATATGATCAGACAGGATGTTGAACAGAAAGGCTGGCTTGCTAGCCAGACTTTTAATCGTAAACATTGTTTTCACGGAAAAATAACGTTATGTAAATTAGCCATGTGCTGCACATTGACTCATTGAATCAGGTTTCATGCTTCTTGCGGCGATATTGCGGAATCACGGCCGGCGAGAGGAGGGTCCACAGAGTGCCTGAGCGCCCAGCCGCGCATCTCCAAGATTTTGTAACAACGCGGACAGGTTCGCGCCAACCGCGTTGCAATGATTGGCTGCAGGGCCCGGAAGTACTTTATTCGGGCCGTGTTGAGCGCTCGCGCTTTGACTGCAGTCAGTACGAAACGACTCAACGTTCACAGGGGCCGTGCTCGCCGGCCACAAGAAGCATGAATCAGGTTTTCAAGACAGATTTACCCCCCTCCTCCAAATGTTTTTATTGCAGATCTAAATGAATCACACAAATGACCTATTTGGAATCCAAAATGGCGAATTTCGCCGAAAGGTGACAAGTTTGCACCCCTGTGGATGGTTGTTTTTTTTTTTATATTTATTTTTGGGCTTTTTGTGCCTTTAATGGAGAGATAGGACAGTGGATACAGTTGGAAATCAGGGAGAGAGAGAGAGAGAGAGAGTGGGGAATGACATGCGGGAAAGAAGCCACAGGTGGGATGTGAACCCGGGCCGCCCGCTTGAGACGACAGCCTCCATACATGGGGTATGCACACTAACCATTGCACCACCAGCGCCCCCATGGATGGTTGTTTTGACCCTTGTATATCTAAAGTGCAATCCATGTTTTGTTTTCTACATGTGTACCTTTGTCTACCTGCGTTTCATTTCCTACCTGTTGGAAACTTTCTCTCAAGTGGCTCTGGTCTTCGGGGTGGCAGAACTCTAGAATATCTTTTCCCAGCAGGTCCTACAAGAAAATATAAGAGTTAATGGGAGGCATACTTGTAAAATTAAAGTTTTGCCTCAACACATAAATACAACCCCATTCCCTTAAAAAGTTGAGTTGTCCTGTAAAACAGAACTAAAAATTGTGATGACTTCAAAACACAGGGCCAGCTTAGAAATAGAGTTTGAAAGACAACATATAAATTAAAATTGAGAAATGTAAATAAAAAGTTGGGAAAGGGTAATGTTTAACTCTCTGCTAAATACATGTTTTTGTATGCATTTTGGGAGCTGAGGAGAACTCTTTCATTTTGAAAATGGAATATTTAACCATTATTGCCAAATGTCGGATTTCAATCAATCAATCTTTATTTGTATAGCGTCAATGCATAACAAAAGGCATCTCAAGACACTACAAAAGAGCAGGTAAAAGAACTTACTCATTGTTATATTATCTACAAAGATCCAACATTATAACCATCATGAGCAGTAAGCAACAATTAGCAAAGATACAGTTACAGTGAAAAACTTTAAGAGGCAGAAACCTTGAGCACAACCAGACTAATGTTGAATAGCCATGTGCCAAAACTGAAAGAGGGATTTTAGCTGTTCAACAGTTCAGGGAATCCTTTCTTTTATTTTAAGCTTAATAATGAGCCAAACATTTTCAATGGGTGACAAGTCGAGACAGCAGGAAGGCCATTTTGTCACCCAGACTCTTTTACTGCAGAGGCATGCTGTTGTAATAAGTCCAGAAGGAAGTTTCACATTGTCTTCCTTACGTAAGCAACACATTTTGTTCCTCAAACTGTATTAATGTTTTCAGCATTAATAAAGCCTTCACAAATATGCAGGTTACTCATATCATGTGCACTGATTCACCCTGGGTCTTTTTCAAACCAGCCACTACACCCTATCCCTACCCACTACCCCTCTGTTTGCGCATCCTCGCGGAGGGTCCATCCCAAACCAATTAGCGGGGAGTGGTAGTGGGTTACAAAACCCTCCACCAGTGAGTGTGCACCAATGCCGACTTTCGGATCACGTGCAACGCCTATTGTGTCCGGTCATCATGGATGAAGCAACCTGTGAGTTCAAACACTGCTCCAACTAAGATAGACAATTAATATCATCATACAGATGTTCAAATGTGTACTAAGGATCAGATTTATGTTTATTTATTGTAAAGTGTTTTATATTTACAGGTACTGTTGCAAAAACAAAAGAATATTAAATCATGTTGCGGACAACTTTTCGCTGTTAATATTTATTTCTTATTTTTCTACTTTTGATGTCTTTGTGAAATCTCAATTCAACAACAAAAAATACACTTTTTGCTGCTCTGATGTTCAACAATAGTCTCCTTGTCTTTGCATTAATTTAGGAAATCCTGTTCTATGAAATTACAATAAATTAACTGAAATTATAAATTACAATGAAACATGTAGGCTCAATCTAATAATTTTGTTATAAGTCTACACTAATATAACTTACTAAAGAAGAATAATCTAGGCTACATAAATATTTTTACAGAATGCATTAGCTACAAAAAAAGCCGTTCCCGCAAGATACCGCTGAGTAACCAGGGTTAACACACAGTTCCTGTTTCCACCTGAGAGAGGGAAGTTTTTCCCAAAGCCTGCCGCTGTATTTCTACCCTACACCTTGATGAAAGTGACTTCACTCAGCTGAGAATTTCACTTCTAACGGAGTGCACTCTGTCACGGTGGGGGAGGGTGTTTGGTTTGAAAAAGGGCCCCTCATCCCATCAAAGATGCTAACTTTTGAAAGTCCCTCTCCTCACAGACAGAGAAATCTAATTTTGACTTGTCAGGCTTCCGTCCATTTCAAATGAGCCAGGACCTAGAGACGGAAGCTTTGACTCCTTTGAAAACATGTTCTTGGCATTAAACTAAAATTAAAATGAAAATTTACCTTTTCAAAAACAATGTAATCTCAACTTGAACTAAGAGCTGCAGACTTTTTGCATTACTTGAAAAATTGTTTATGGAAATGTGCAAATACTGAATTTTGATAGACATCAAGAAAACGTCAGAACATTCTTGAGTTGCATGGACAGTAAATAAAAGAGGAGTAGATTAGAGAATAGTGATGCTTCTTAAAGAACTTAGATCAGTTATTATTAAAACAAAAAGTTATAAATAGGAATCTTTGAAATACTTCAGAATAAAGCTTTTCAAAAAAACCTTGTTCCCTCTGCAGTTGAAATAAAAATAATACTTTCAAGAACAAAAAAAGGGAAAACAAATATCCAACCTGAGGCTGATAGCCAATGACATTGATGCAGCGCGGGTCTACAAATGTGATGACACCATCCGAATTGTGACGTGACAGGAACTCTGTGGGCACTGAGAGGCCGTTCATGTCCATAGAGACAGGAGAGCTGGTCACCTGAGGGAGGGCACAGACATATTTATGATTAATGATTTAGGCATAAGGATGAGGACAAGAGAATTTAAGGGTGGGAGCACAAGTAATAGTATACCTGAATTGTATGCAATGAGTTTCTGAATTTTTAAACATTTTATGTTATGACTCAGTTCTGTATGGTACCTCCCTGCCTGTGTTTGTTGTCTGCTTTCCCCTGTTTGTTTTGATCCTCCTGTCAGTCATGTCCGTGTGTGTGTGCAGTATAACTACCTGGGCTCTACATCCTCTCTGCTCTTTGTGCTTTGTTACTGTTAGCGTGGATCCCCTGAGGTCACCCCCCCCCCCCTTCCACGTGTTAACATTAAAGAAACTCTTTAACTGAACTAACTGTCTCTGAGTCGTGCGTTTGGATCCTAAAACAAACACCTGTGTTATTCCTAACACATTATTTCAATTTCACACCATATGACAAAATATTTTGACATTGTTCACAAAAGTTGGGCTGTAACCTTCAGTACTGGCACACTGATCACTCACAGATCCTGCAAGTTGTGGAACACACAGCAGCAGACAATGAAATAAAAAATATTAATAATATTAAATATGTATTCTTATATTTATACAGTTGAAAACTAACCATCATTTATATATGTGCCTCAGTTGATTTGTATTTTATTCATGTAATCAGTATGAGGCAACCTTAAAAAAAAAAAAAGAAGTTTTTGGTGTAAAAAGAGGTTGAAAACAAACCGGTCTACTTACTAATGAAAATGAGTAATTCATTATGTGAGTATGTAAAAGTCCAAACTAAATGAAGGCTTGGCTAACCTTCCTTGAGGGCTTCAATAAAATCAGTATATTAACCTAGAATTCCACAAAAAGCAGCAACACACACCTGAAGTCTTCCAATGGCAACAAGGCAATATTTCCCAGTCTGACCTGCTTCTGTGTCTTCCTCTGGTATAGTCATACCTAAGGTAAAGAAAGAGAGAGTAGTTTTTATTTCAACACATTTCAAACTGAATGCCAATAAAGCCCAGGATGAAATATAATTCAACAAAAAGAGACAAAAGCGGGAATTTCTTAATTTATTTTAGATAGTGTTTGGGCCATGTTTGTCTTTATTGTAGAGGACAAATGACTAGAGACAGGAAGTGTTGGGAGGAATGAGTGGGGGACGACAGGCAGCAAAGGGGCCAAGGTCAGATTCAAACTCACGGCTGCTGCAGCGAGGACTATAGCTTCCATACATGGGGGGCACAACATGGAAACTTCGTCCCGCTTTACGCCTCCACAACATTTATAAAGTGAAGGCCAAACGTCACAGGGGCGTACATTTTGTGTCTTTAAACAGCATTTTAAATAGGGCTATTATTTTGGGAACACTTTAAGCCTTGTGAGTCAACTTTTCAGGTTGAAAGAAAATCACATCCCTGCTTTAAGAATTCCAGGGGACAAAAATCTGTCATAAGGTTCCTTGAGGGATTAATTGGAATACAAAGTATGATTTTTCTCTTAAATAATTATATAACTTGATAATGTACAACTGTAAGAAGATTCGTCAGGAGGGGAATTCTTAATAGGAATATTATGCATCTAGTTATCTGTATACAAATGTATGAATTCTTGCAGATATCAAATGTCTTCAGATTTTGATAAAGATACTCCCACACTACCGAGCTATCTATTCATGATTTTGACCAGTGTTTAACCAGACTGGTCAATACTTCCCATGCTTTTGGTCAAAATGAATGAAATTTAGTTTTAAGTCCTAGAAAAAAAGGTCATCAGACTAACTGTATTTCTTTGAGTCTTTGATAATAAATATAATAGCATAGTAGTTGAATTCAAGAGAGCCAACTGCTACTAGGTTACTCCAGGCCATATTCACTCTTATAAAAGAAATTGTTGTAGTTAAGCAGGGCTAGAGACCAGAGCATTGGTTTGAGGTAGTATATATGAGTGTGCATGTTTTTGTTTACCTGCAGGGGGCCAGGCTTTGATATAGCCAGTGCAGTGCACAACAGAGTACTGAGCCTCTCCTTCTTTTGACGGTCCAAGCCCATTCCTGGCCAGCAAACAGACAAAGACACAGCAGCATGTTAGGGACTCTTTTTGTAAAATTAATGTTATTAAAATTCCTGAATTTTCCATAAATGGAAACATACAAATATTTCCCTTTGTCACAGTTAAATGTGAGGGGAATTATTCCAAAACTATTAAACGACTGTTAAGCACTTGATTCTGATTAGCCAATTACTCAAAACAACAGTCTGCTATTCCTGGAAAGCAGACTGTTGTTAAGAAGAACAAACCATACTAAGAAAAGCAGAAGACTGCTAGTGACCCAGCTCTTATCACAGACTCTGTAATCGTATCAATCCACAGAAATAAGTCTTGCTAATCTGGCATCAGCATTTTTAGTATGAGAAAAGGGGAAAGGAGAAGGAAAAGAGTGGAGAAATGCTCCAAATGTCAGAGAAATCTACAAACCATGGCACATGGAGTGACCTCTAAATGAAACATGGTATGGTACGGTGGTGTTTAAAAATGAATGTAAAAGAAAATGCCAACAGACTTCAAGAACAACAAGGCAGAAAAACTCAAAACTCACGCTGATCTGTGCACTGATGTTAACCATCAGTGGAATTGTTCACTAAAATGTGAGTAACTTAAGCTAGGTTAGCTAATACCATCTATATAAAAATCTTGTTATTCATGTTTGAAGTAAAATGTCCTTCATTACCCTTTAATTTACAGAATTTATTTACAATAAGAGATAGAACGGTTCAGTAGGACACCGGAGAAGAATGTATTCCTTTAGAACAACATTAAAACAAAAGATGTGTTTCCATTTATTGTGTAAAATGATGTAATTGTCAAGAGAGACAATTCAAATCTCCTTCTGTGAAGAAATCGTTTTGTTCAGTATGAGTCAGAAGAATGATCTTCAAGTTGATTGGATGTAATTGGTCAACTCTTAAATAAAGTTGACCTGAATGATTAGTTTCTCTTGAACCTGTTAAGCGTGTGGTAGATTGTACTCACACATTAAGGCCCTGACTCACCAATGAGATCGTCAGCCGTCGGGTCCTAGTTGGACCGTCGGTGAGCGCTTGTCGCACTAGTTTTTGCGGTGTGCCGGGCTTCGTTGCTACCCGTCAGGCCCCGTCAGCCTTTTTCGGCCGAGAGGACTCTATCTGATTGGCTGTTCAGAGGTTTAATTTCTCTCCAGCTCTCCTCACAGGTTCAGGAAAGCCCATTGAGCATGCCGCTGTAGTATCCATGCTTTCACCCATTAGTGCGCGTTCTCCTTCTCTGTCTCCTCTTCTTTTCTTTTTCCACTAAAAGACCAAGAACTGACAACGCCAGCGCCATTTTCTACTTTTTAAATCAGACATTATTCTCCATTAGTAGGCGACCTATAATACGAGTGGTGACCGACAGCGGTGTGAAAATGGTCTTCTTGTATCATAACAACGGACTACCGCCCCCTGCTGGCATGGAGAGTTATTTCCTCTCACGTATGAGCAGAACATGCGTGGTGGTTGGCCGTCGGCTGGAGTCTTTGCATTGTGTTCTAGTGCAACTTTTTGGACAAGACACGAGGCGACGCCACAGGCGGCCTTCGTCACCACTAGTTTTTTGCCGTGTGCTTGGTGTGTCAGGACCTTTAGATTGACTCACACAAATATGAATGTATTTAAGTACTTTAAGTCTACTAAATAAAATCTACCAAAATGAAAAGAAAGTATTCCTCTACATTGCACTGCTTAAAAACAATAAAACAAAGGAAATTAATAGAATGAATGTTTTAGAAAGTAACTGTGGCAGGATAATGTATAATGAGCAGGTTGTTATCGCAGAGGTATGGAGATAGAATGGTCTCAAAAAGATTCATACATATCGAAATGGTATGTATAAAAATGCATATATTTATAAATAAACATGTATTTGTAAATATATTTTGGAGATTTGAAAATAAATATGCTTGACTTTGTGTGTAGATTCTGCATTTGTGGATCTCTTTTGGGCTTTTCTCTCGATGACATCATTGTGAGACATTCTTACCGCACACTGCCATCCACAAATAAATACCCCCGAATTCGAATGAGAGTACACCCTCCCCTGAACAACCAGTAGATGGCAGTGTTGTGCAGCCACCGCTGGTTATGGTTAGGTATTTGACAGACGCTTTAATCCAAATGTACCGTCTATGACTGCTGCAGGATCAACAACATGGAAGTGAACAGTGGACTAACTGGATGGCTAAGTAATAACTAGTGATAACTGTTTCATTATGAGTCCACTTAGTCAGTGTACAGACAGATGTCAAGTCTCGAAAATATATTTACAAATACACGTAAATCTTTTTGAGACTATTCTATCTCCATACAGAGGAACCCTTCAGGGTGAGATGAGACCCCAGTGAGAAGAAGGCAGAAATGAATATGAGCAAATGTTATCATAGAAAGGAAAGTTCCTGTACCTGTATCTCTTTCTCATGTTAGACAGACGGTTTAGAGAAATGTGATCAAGGGGAGCACTCCCACACCTGCATACAAATACAAAGACAAGAGTAAACATTACATTCCACTTGTATCAACTCATGTTTAGATACACTGTATTGGCAAACACATTTTGTGATGTATTAGTTTGAGCCTTTTTGTGTTTTTTCTTGTTACGATGGATCATGCAGTTTTTGTCTGGGTATAATTTGACCATTTTGTACACTTCTCATAGATATAAATTAAAATAAACACCCTTAAGAGGCCCCCCACAATAGAACTGAATTATGTTCCATTTAAACGCTGCTACCAGAAATGGAAATGTAATATCTATTTTTTCTTACAAAGGTCATTTTATTAAAGATCTGCCACGGTTCAGAATTAACAGCATAGTAAACTGTCATTTTTTTGTCAAGAGGTTTTCAAATAGTAACCTCTGAGGCAAAAAGCAGATGCATGGAGTGGTTCATTGTTGAAAATAATGTGTCCCTCTGGTGCTCTTCAGTGTGGGGATCCAACTTAGTAGCTATTTTTGACTTATTAAAAAAAAAAACAAATCAAGAGATAGAAAAAGGAAAACATCCATTCACACAGTCACCCACCTCATGCGGCAAATGAAGGACCGTCGGGAGCCCATGCACATCCTCATAGACGACTGCTGTCCCTCCTTCTTCACTGTTCCCGTCTTCAGATCCAGAATTCGTCCTGTTTATACAAAAACAGCAGAACAAATTAAACTGAAGCAAGACCAGGACAAGGCTTGCACAAGTTAAACACAGACAGAGACAATAGTTCTGTGCAACACCTCAATGCACTGAAGCCCTCAAGTATCCATGATCTGCCAGAAACAACCCTCCAGAAAACCCCCTGAGCATAGAAGCCCAACCACTGCTGCCTGGGCATATATCAAACATCATGCACACCCAGATTAATAACATCAGCATACGTTTTATACATAGACACACACACATTTCCCTTTTTATTGTTTTGTATATATTAGTTTTTTTTTTTAGTGCCTTGGTCTGCATGTGCACTGTAATGTTTGAGTCATCTGCCTCCTTCCGCCTCAGCTGCCACCACTAAACTTTAATCTGTATCGTTCGGCCCTTTTTACCTGTCCCGTGAGTTCCCTCAACTTTTTATAACTACGGTGTATATTCATCCAAAGGCAGACGCTGCCTCTGGCTCCAGCACTGACTTTTATGTAGTGCACAAACTGCAGTCGATGCACTTAACTTCACTCCTGGTCATTTTAATCATGTCTCTCTCAAAAACTTTAATACATACTTTAAAGAGACCATCAAGCATGTGTCTCCTGAATGTACCTCACATTAAATCCAGATCAGGTGAAGGTACATTTGGTCACTATGGTGCTGTTCTCTGGAACAAATTGCCAGATGACCTGAAATCCACTGCAACTCTTATCTTCTTTTAAAAACAATTTTGGTAGTTAATATGTGTCTGTGTGTCTTTTTTTATGTTAATGTGTGCGCCTGTTGTTTTCCTTTCAGTTCAGGAGTTCAGCATGATATAGACAGAAAATTGATTTGATGTCTGTGTGTTGTATGGGCTATGATTTATTTTTATTCGTATTATTATAGTCATCATTATATTTTATTTTCAATTACTAGGAGTATTTAATATGGCTCTACTTCATTTATTATTTTAAGGTTTTTAATGTAAAGAACATTGAGTTTTACCCGTGTAATGAAATGTGCTTTACAAATAAAATTGACTTGACTTGACTTTGGGGTTTTTGGGCCTTTATTCGACATGTGTGTGCCATGCACCAAATAGCATCAGGATTGGGAGTCAAACCAGCGACCTGTGCGACGAGGTCTGTGACCTCTCTAAATGGTGTGTCTTAACTCCACCAACTGAGCAAAACCTGCAGCCGAAGATGTCGTGTTTAACATAGGCAACCCTTGTGAAGTTAGGGGAGGGACTCTGAACAGAGCGACTGTAAAATAGACTGTTATCACATGAATGAATTAAACCTTTTATTGCCCCTAGGGGGAATTTGCCTTGCACAGAGAGCATAAAAAAACACAAACAAAAAAAACATTTACAGGACAGCACATCATAAGAACACATAAAAACACACTAAAGCATCACATGATTCAATGAGGGATTTCAGCAAGTTAAATAAAGTGCAGAGTGCCAAGTTCGTCCTGTATAATCAGCTCTTATTAAGCAGCTGAATACTGCACAGTACAAAGGATGTAATGCCTCTTTTAGTCATCATCCTGGGCATTCTGTACCTGCGCTGGGACTACAGCAAAGTCAAGCATATGTAACAATGCTGTCATCACTATATAAAAAAAAAAAATACAACTAATAGCTTCACAAAGGTTCCAACCCCACCATACACATACAATAGACTATGTATGACAACATTGGTGAGACAAAGCTTAATGAAATTTGTGATACAGTAAGTACTATCAGTTAGAGGTTCACTGCCCTGTGTGTGTAACATCAGACACAGGGATAGAGGAAATCAATGCTGCTCCAGGAAAGTATTTTGCAAAAATAATAAACAAAAAGAGAAGAAAAGACAGTAAGGAATTCAGTGCTATCAAAGTGTATTCTGTACCTGTCATGGAGTTTTCTGAAGTGCTGAGCTGTTCCCTCAGCTTTTCCACATCGTCTGGGTGCACTTGTTCATATAGAGTGCTGCCAAACCACTCTGACTGCGGATGGTTCAGTACAGGTGTCACTGAGTCCGACACATAGATCACCCGGCCTGTTTCTGCCGCAACCACAAACAGGAAGCCGTCTGCTGCCTCCAGGATCAGATGCTTGAGTTCCTATATAGTGCCAAGGGGACATGAGCACACAAGCCAGAAAGGAATTAAAAAATTAAGAGGCAGTCTAATCAAAACCATGTGATTGCTGTATTAAACATGGGCGTTGGACCCATTACATACAGGGGAACAGTTTGTGGTGTGCTCATTATAAATCTACATTTGTGGAAGCAGTGTTTGGCCATAATTAAACAACAAGTACATCCGATTACATTTAAACTTTGGAGACTTTGAAGTTCTTTTCAGAGAACCAATTTTGAAGGGAGACGAAATAAGACTTTTGAATAATCAATATGCAAAAACTGATGTTCTTAAGTTTCAATATCATAAACCTTTATATTTCATCATCTCAAAACCAGAGTCTTAAGCTTTAGGTGAATTGGGAGAGTGAGGTATATATATTTTTTTCAATACTTTCTTCTTTCCTTCCTTTGTAATGGAAGAGGAAATAGCTCTGAAGACATTGGACTCTCAAGTGGCAGAGTAAAACACTTGAAGTCTAAGTAGCTTGTTTTAACTCAATTGAATAACTTCTAATATTAATGTTGTGAAAAACAAAAATGGGCCTTTATACTTAAAGTATCCATAAAATAATAAGAGTAGTTACACGAGCTGTGGAGTTTGTGCAGTGCTTAATGATAAAAGGGTAAGAACAGGGACAATTGGTTACATATACAGATATATACAGATAGTAGGTAGTTTTTGGTTTTTGTGAAATAATTTCGTTTCTGTGTGCAAAGTAAAATAATGTAAGCATCCAAAATAAAACTAGGATGTTTGAAAAAGCTGTGTTAAAAAATCTTTGCTCTGTTTAATAGCACTTGGGAAATACTATAATATACTAATAATATAAAATGAAATTTTCATAGGGGGGGCTAATAATTTCGTCCTCATGTGTATAAAGAATCCTCCATAGACAATTCTCAATTCAGTTTGGGCTCAGGGGTCTAAACAAGTTACGAGGGTTGGGTCCATTGTAGGCTACACCCAGATCAAGGATGCAATCCCCACTACGAGACATGCATCTCATATTGTATCAGTCAGAGCAGTGAAACACAGAGCACTGAGGGGGATTTGGTGGGTCACATACTGCCTCCACAGATGTGGCATTATTTAAATGACATGTTGGCAATAAGATGTTCACTTACAAAGTCCCTGACTGATAGCAGCCTCACTGTTTGGTTAGCAAAGTGCTAATGCTAACTACCATCAACAGAATAGTGGAGAGATTAGAAGGGAGGCTGCTCTGTATTTTGGCTAACAATCTCTTGGTTTGACACGTTTGCCTCCCAAGAAACATGGACATAAAAAGAGCCAAGTTGAATCACTGTGAATCTCAGGTTTCAGCCTTAAACATGGGAAGCAAAGTTCACATGTACAGCACCGAATCGAGGATACCCTTTGGAGAAGTATCCAGCTGAGTCTGAGTCATTGTTACCTGTTCAGTGAGAAAGGAGGGCTTGTAAGCCCCATCAGTTGATGTGTTTCCCGTGCCCCTCATGGATTTCATATGGGAGACAGCCATACGCAGAATGGTCAACTTATCGGGTTTTCTTGCCAGAGCACTGCAGGTAGGCACCATGTCTGACAGCTCAGTGATGTACTGGGTCATTTTGTTGCGCCGGCGCCGCTCAATCTCACTGTGATTCTCTCTGAAACAGTGGAAAGAGCAGGTAGAAGCTTGGAGAGAGAGAGACATCTCGGAACCATTTGACAGCCTTGCTTGCCCCCCCCCCCCCCATGTCTTTTATGTCTGTGACTAAACTTAAGCACAAGTTTCGTCAACGTGAACTGCACTAAATTATTAGTTTTAATCTAGACGCAATTTGATTGCACTGACTCTATCCAAATAACAAAACATTGTCTGCATCCTGGTCTGAACTTTGTTGCTGTCAAGGTTTTGGACGAATAACCTCTGCTATGTTTCTAGATAATAGAGCTGCACTGTCCAAAGTGGGATGGATGCCGTCTCTAGCTAGCAGACCAGGTTTTCCCCAAAAAGACTGCCAGTTATCTATGAAGCCCACATCGTGTGCTGGACACCACCCCGACAGCCAGCGGTTGAGTGATGACATGCGGCTATACATGTCATCACTGGTCTGATTTGGGAGAGGTCCAGAGAACACTACGGAGTCCGACATCATCTAAGCAAAAGTACACACCGACTTCACATTAACCTTAGTGACTTCCAAATACAGGCATGTGTTACTATTTTTGTGGTTTATGTGTATATTGCTAAGTATTTTATGTTGTTGAAATTGTCAGTTAGGATCCTTATCAAGTAGGAAAACAAGATTTTCCCAATTTCCTTTAAATGAAGCATGGCACGTAGTAGTACAACAATAGCAACCAACAACTATTATTATGGCTTGGCAAATATTTCCAAAATAAATTAAGTTTTTAGATGGCTATGGAAGCGAATGGTGACCAGAAAAAGAATTTATTTGAGAATTAAATACATGAACAGAAATGCTTTTTAATTTTCACAATATGAGTGTGTTATTTGACTAAAAAATAAAACAATACTCATTTATCTCATTTACATTTCAGTGTTCAATTTCAAACTTCAAAAATGCACATTCGAATGAATAAATTAAAATGAAAAAGAAAATGGCATTATTTTTTTACATCTTCAAAAAATGCCCCACATAATTCAAATGAAATCATTATTTGACCTATTTAAAATGAATATTCAGTCATCCAATTTGCATTATACTTTTCCTCTCTATGTATGCATATTGTATGACATCATTCAAATTAAAACTAAAAGATCATTGGCTTTTCATTTTCAAACTTGCCGTGCTTAATAGTTCTCATAATTGTCAAAGTGGACAGCGCAGGAAAGTGACGTCAGACTTAAGCTCCCAGGCAGAATGCGCTACGCATCAGAACGATAGGTGGCAGAAAGAGGTGTGCATCTTTAACGCTTTAGCTCCCACTGTGATATAGGGTGGCAATCTGCCTGGACCTTTCCAGAGCACACTGAACTTTCAGTGAGTATAATGCAGCAGCTCTTCAACCACGACAACATGCCACTATCTCTGACCATGAGAGTCACTTGTTTAAGCTTCTTCATACGGCCACACTCCTATTTCACACGGTGAGAATAAAACAATTCCCCTTTTCTATTTTTCCCCTTTTCCCCAAGCCTCACTTGTTGCTTGCCGTACTTTGCCTATGATTGTCTGACACAGAGAGAACCGTAACCAGTGATTTGTAAACCCTTAATATTTACAGAGAGATTGATATTTCCGGCAGGCCAGGAGAAAATGAACAGAGCATCTGGCAAAGCAGAGCATTCACAATAATCTCTAAAATCAACTGAAGAGAAGTGCGCAGAATCACGGTGTGCATATGTATCCATCGCGCTCTCTCTGAGTGACATGTTGACTGTTTTCACTTGAGAAACATCATTCTTTATGATAACGTTGCTGCGCCAATTAATAGGCTATATTGATAATTAACCTAAAAAACCTTTGGATTAGTTATTAGTAATACTAACAGCATTTCAAACTTCAACAGCTAACAGACATCACACAGACATGTCCTACGACCTGTTTAAAGTTTATAATAAACAGAGCATTGAGGGTGGCGAGCAGACTCGTCGCATGTTGGAGCTGTTTGGACAACAACAGTTTGTTAACAGATACTACAGTCTGCAGTATAGATCATTCTCTTCTCTGCTAAACTGAGTTACATTAAAACAGATGATCGATTGAATGTTCTGTTTCATATCTCCTCAGCTCTGTGCACAAAGTTTCAATGTCTCTCCACCTCTGTGCGTAATGGCACACACTCTCCCTCTCGCTCGTCTGTATGAGCTCTCTCTCCCTTTCAGAGGTTGATCTGTAGTTATTTAAAGAATTGTCAACTAAAACTCCAAAATTGAGGGTAACATCTTGTTATGCCTGTGTGACAGGATGATCAAACGTCTTTGGTTTCTTTGATTGTGCTGAATATCTCGTGACTCTCCATAACAATGATCAACAATACACAGCAGCACAGCAGAGAATAATGACTACACAACACAGTCTTAATTAAGACTACGTGTATGAACATTATTACTCGTCACTAATTTACTGATAATGCTCCCTTTTTCAAGTCCATTAACTTTCTGGACTGCTTTCTATTCTTGTTTGGAGCTTGCAGAAGCATTAAAGATGCACACCACCATGTATAGTAATGGATGCATAGGGAGCTGAAGTCTGACGTCCCTTTCCTGCACCGTCCACTTTGCCTCTTTTCTCCTCAACACATGGAATGGTTATTTAAAGAAATATTAATGAATCTCTCACTCTTTTGTAGAGATGCATTGAAGGCATGGCTGAATTTTCAATATTATCCCCTAGACAACCGAGAAAATGTCCAAAAAGTGATATGGATGAACTAATTTATGCTTATAGATGGGAAGCCCACTTAAACAGATAAATTGAATAGTTTTCATTAATGAATTTTTCTGTAGGTGTTGTCAAATATGCATTAATTTTAATTATAATCAGCTGCTTTAAGCCATTCCAAATAACTGGAAACAGAGAGTAAAAAATACTGGATACAGACAACAAGTTCGAGCAGCTACTACAAGGTGCCAGAAATGGCTATTCAAAACAAAGATAAACAAAATAATTTATCATTTCATTTCACAGAGCAGAGGCCTCACTGCTTTCCCTCATACAGTCTGCAACTATTGGGAAGGAGAATTTAATAAATGAATACCTTGGAAACAATTTTTACAACAATGTACAAAACAACAACAATTGACTGATACTCTAGAATTTGTCAATTTAATATAATATATAAAATTGCCTTTAGTATGGCAACGGGTTTAACATTTAAGAATCATCACTGTGTAGATTTTGTAAAGAGGAGGAGGAAGATCAGATGCATTTGTTTTTCTATTGTTCATATGTTGTGAGTTTTTGGACCAATATACAAAATTGGCTGAGGCTGCATCACATCTCCTTTAGAGTTGTACCCTTAAACATCTTGTTGGGGGTTCTCGATGAAGATGGTCCTCAGATAATAAATACTATTATTCTGTTAGGTAACATCTTCACAAAGCTCAATCAAGGAATAGTTTGATTTTTTGAGTTTAAGAGTGTAACAAATTATTAACAATTAGTTGTATTTATAATATTTTTTGATGATTTGTACCTACATATACCCCACACTGAGATTGGATGATGTGGCTTTCTGAACTAGTTCTGAAAAAACCTGCTTTCAGTGGTCTTACCTTGAAAACTTGCTTGGTCCTTCTCCATCTTCGTCATCAAAGTCCATTCTAAAGAACAACCACAGGAAGTCACAGTTACTATTTCTTATTTGTCTGAGAAGTCTCTTTGTATGCTTATGAAAAAACATGTGGTGTAAAATGTATATCCACAGCAGCAGCACTTTGGATTGACTGTTATTTCTCATCAAGTGACAAACTTGAGTATTCTAACAGGTCTATATTTTTTATCTATCCAACAGTTGATAACTCCTACACAGCTTCCACCAAACATATGGAGAACTCAGCCAGTTCTAAAATAAGCCAGCATGGGTTTATGCACACTGAAGTAAACACTGAAGACACTCATGCAGACAGACATGTTTGTGTTGATTTAAATACAGAAAAACATTTCCTGTTGTTTCAAGTAACCTTAACATTTGTTAACTCACCCATATGAAATAAATAAGCAAATAAATTAATAGGTACATAAATACTAGAGGTGCAACAATTCTCGATATAATATTGAACCCGTCAACACGGCATCTTGGTTGAATACAACTGTTGGGAATTGCGGTTTTTCAGTAAGTAACTAGCTTACATTGTATTTCTTTTCAAAAACGCTCTGTTTGTGTGTGAGTAGGGCTGCAACAATTCATCGCCAAAAATAAATAACAAAATTATTCCCAGACGAATTAAACTGTACTTGCTCTCATGCTTATATTCTCCAATTCCAAAAAAGATTTAATTTATGTTTTAGACCTTTGGAACGTATTGCCAGAAGTTAATTCTCTTTTTCTGGGCACCTTGCATTACCTTATATGAATGTCATTTGATTGAAGGCATCTCACCAATAACTTTTAGAATATTTTATTCATGTACAGCATATATGTATAATAGGGGTGGGAATCACCAGAGGTCCCACGATATGATATCATCACGATAATTGAGAACGTTTTGCCATGCTGAGAATTGTGAAACAATATATTGGATATATACATGTTGATTTAACTGCATATTATGTCCACAAAATTAAACTAAATCAAGAAATGTTTTATCAGATAAGAGAAAATACATTGTTCATCACACTTAAGTCTTTCTATTTCCACACAATGGGAGTCAAGCCCACAGACTGACCAACACTGTGGTAAAAGTGAAACCCTGTAAAAGGCTGCATGCACCTCACAATCTCAACTGTAAATATTTCTGTCTAACCGAATTTAACTGGACACAAACATGTATGAACGACTTTAAAATTGCAGTAATATTTAAAAATGCAACTTGTTCAAAATGAATTGTGCATCCACTTCGGCAATTAAAAATTAAAAACGCATATTTGCTCTTCAAATATAATAATAATATATTCAAATATTGATACTTAGCGGCCATTAACTGATATAATATCACCACGCAGAATATCACGATACCATGCTGTATCGACTTTTCCTCCCACCTCTAGTGTATCACCACATTATCTTCCCAACATTCTCTCCAGCAAGTGTCACTATTTTGTGTATACTCGGATAGAATGAATGGTGTTCTAAAATACCTTCATTTATTCATCTTCTGTGCATATTCCTGCCAATAGGGTGATCTTATGTAGCAGTCTTTGAAGCTTTTTTTTGAGGTATAATTATGTCCCACTTGTCGTCGCATTTCTCTTTATTTTAGCATAAATCTTCAAAGTTACTTTGCAGAAATGGGGTAAGTGGGTGTTTATTATTTTATTGTTTTGTTTTATTCTATGCAGATGCTCTGACTTACTTCTATGTGACATCATGATGTACTGTCTGCAGAAATTTAATTTAAATTAAAAAAAAAAAATAATAATAATGAACTAATTGTGCCTCCTTTCTTTTGCTGTGGGAATTTAAGTTTTACTCTTGGCTTCTTTTCATCCCATATACATTTTCTCAATAGCCCCTCCCATACATTAAAACATGATGTTGCTATGTATAGTGGCAGGTTCTGAAATGGAAAAAGCAAAATATGAATTTAAATAAAATTAGTTTTTTCAAGTAGAGTGAGTGGTAACATTTTTACAACGGCAACATCAATTTTTCAACGGCTGAGCGCAGGTTTTAAATCATGGAAAGGCAAAAATGGTGATCATGATTATAATGAAATGAATGGAGCAGGCCTACTAAACAATACTACAACAACAGAAACAAAGTGACCTGTCACCTGTTTGACCAATAGCCAGCACTCATGCAAAGCCCTGTATTCAGAATGGTTATCTCCAAAGCAGTTCAGCAGTGAGTATACTTACCCTCCTGATCTCCTCTTGCCCCCCCGGCCTGGCATGGCTCCTCCCATCCTCACTTGGCTGGTTCCAACAGCTCCCTGCATCGGGACTGTGCCTGGTAACTCACTTCCAATCTCTGTTAGAAATATGAAGACAGCATATGAGCAGAGGGTTAGCATTAGCATACCATTAAACTATGGGTTTCCTATTTGTATAAATATAAGAAAGATTTTCTGTTTGTTTTCAGCAGCTCTTCTAAAAGCAGGCTTCATTTGACATACATTGAAATAGAAAATCTTGGCTAGCTTAAAGTTCTGCTCAATTCACTGGAAATGGTTTGTGTGCCTGAGCTGCTCAATGCTGTTTGCTCTGAACACATTTGACAAAGGTTCATAAAAAAAAGAAAGATAATAAAGATAAAATGATTACTGTGCTGCATGCCATGTTTTGCTCTTTTTTGTTTTGCTTTTTTCATGCATCGTAAATGTTTCAAAGTGTTAGTTGTGATGTAATGGTCATTAGAGTAAATCCCAATGTCCTCAAAAAAAACTTACATTTATTTGTATCTATTATAAATAGTAAGCCTGTAACAGTCAATCATACATAGCAGTATTCACACCCCAATCCAGGCAATGATAATCGTTCATTAAATCAAAATGGATGCGCTATAAAAAAAAAAAAAACGTTGCTGCTTGATTGCGAGATGTTTCTCATAAGTCCAAAATAAATCAAGCATTTTCTTTTAACATAAAATGTTCAACAATTATTCTGAGGGTAGCAGCTTGAATATTGTTTATATTCTTTACTCTGTGAATTTCAGTTTCCCCCTTGCAAACAGTATGACGTCTAGTCCTTTTGTATTTCAGGTGGACAAACAGAAGTGTGGCGCTTTGTATTTGAGGAGCTATTAAATCAAATCACAACACTCAGATGCTCGTCATTTAACAACTCCGTAGACTCATTTCAATCAGAAATGTGAATCAGAAAAGCAACAATTCTCTATTCAACCATTTGGTACGCCATCCACATAGGCTACTAATAAATTAGAGTTTAGTGTAAGGAAATACCTCCCCACTGAGTAATCACCATGCACTAAAGTTGGGAAAGCCAACATCACTACACACATTACCTATACATGGATTTCCCAACGTAAGACATAACGTGACGTAAATAAACAACGTGGAAGTAGCGGCCGAAGCAACAGAGTCCACTACACGACGTTATAATGAGAATATTTGTCTTTATATCAATGCTATGTGTAATCCAATGGAATGACAACATCCACAAAAGAGAGGAGAACAACATACTGACCAACAGAAAACACAATGCAGACGTTTAATTAAGTGCACAGAGATCGTGTGCAGACACTTTAGGCAGTCACTGTTTATAAAGGTCATTCTCTTTTCATTGGCTCAAATTGAAATCTCCAGAGTATATGCTGCCGTGTTCAGACATCAGCTCACTCTGATATTCTGTGGATAAAATACTCAGAGTCTGGAGGAGAAACTCTGGGTAAAGTCTGCACAAAAAATGTGTCTGTTTGTGTTCACACACAGACTGAAGAACCTCCGGGTAGACTAATCTCCAGAGTTTTTCAGGACATTTCTGTATGTGTGAAAAGGGTTTTAGAGAAAGCTCATGAAGATTAAACAAATATATTTTAAAATACTGAAATGTCTTCTATTTCTACATGGCACTAGACATAATTAAACAACTTTGTTGCTTCAAAGTCAAATAAATATTTTCCTTAACCCCTCGCAGTTCCTGTAAAATGTGACTTAAACTCCTAAGAATGTACTAATAACAGGCCGAGTCAGGAAAACATGTGATCCGGTCAAACGTTCGTTCACTCTCATCAGGTCTACAGCTAACTTAACAATAGCAACGCCATCTCACAGTCTGCTAAAATAACTTGGAAGGGAAAAACCACATTTGATATAAATAAAAATGCAATATTAAAATGTACCCCCCCCCCCAAACTCTACTGCCCAGATATTGCATCATTCTGTGGGAAACAGAAAAGTAGTCAGAAGACAGAAGACTAGGAAAGCACTTTATAAGCTCAAGTCCAATTACTATTTGAGTAACACAAAGTGCTTGTTTGTATAAAATAGTTAAATAAACCTTTGCGATATGTTTATTGTGAAAGCTCATATTGCAATAATGATAACATTGTGTGAAAGATACGTTTGTGTTTGTGCACTTGCTTAACAATGGCATACACCGTACAATTGTATTGTCAGCTCATACTGTACAACTGAATCACTTAGGACGCGTGACCAGAGCCCGTTTATGTGCTCACACTGTACGACATTGATTGGTGGACACGATCTGAGAGTTCAGTTCACATTGAAAAAATCATGACGTAGCATTCACAATGTTCAACACAAAACTCCCACAGATAATGGTTGATTTCAGTTGTCTCAAATGCACGGCTAAACTAAACACACAACCAAAATATCAAACATATAAGAAATTAATAGGACGATCTGAAGCAGCTGATCAGTCTGTGATGGGCTGCTGCACGACTGACGCTGGGGGATCGGGGGGAAATTGGCCTGACTTCAAAATGAGTTGTACGACTCAAAAATCTGTTCTAAACTGGCCTGAAATCCAAAAAGAAAGAAAAGAAAAAAGATCTGACAAAAGACAATGGGCATAAAGCAGAGTGCACTTAAATGTAGGTTTCCTTTTTTACTTTCAGAAAGTGTGCCATTTAATGGTTGAAATATGTTTATTTTTCTGAAGGTTCATCCCATTAAAAATATTCTTATTTGGGGTATTGTTAATGAAAACAGAATATTTTCTGAAGATAAAAATTATTTTTTCTTATATTTTAAATTTCATCTATCATTACATTTTTTGTGAGAGCCAACACTTCGGTTGATTTGAATTCAGTGAAGACCTAGTTGTTCCTTTTGGCCCCCCTTATCTGGTGCTACTATTGGTGCCATTTTATACAAAATAATAAGTATAATCAGCCAGTTTGTTGTCCACTTTGAGCAGCACAAACTTCTTTTCAGAACTGCTCAACTATTTCTTAAATTTGGAGACTAGTGTGCAATAATTAAAAAAAGAAAATGTAAAGGGCATTCCCAGCTTCTCTCTACCTTAGTGTGACTGCATTTGTGATATCTATGAGGGCACAGGGTCTCCTGCAGAAGGACACAGGTGCAAACAATGTAGTTTCAGCACTAGGTCATGAATCAACCTTGACTCTTCAGAGGAGTTTTTCTTCAGAAATGAAAAATTAACATATGTTTGTGAATGAGGCCCGATGTCTCCTGAGTACAATAAGATTCTAATGCAACTTGCCTCAAGGTCAATTTAGATACAGAGTATTTATGTAGCATTTGTTCCATTTTTCACTGAAGGTTAACTTCATCCCATCAGTTTCAAGCTAACAACATTGTTCCATTTTGTTCTTACTCCTCCACATTGCAGCTAGCTGTTGCATTTACTTTTAGAATGTGCTGCTGCAGTAAATAGACACACACAACCCTTTGTAGATCATTTCACTTGTCATGTTTAACATGCTCTTAAAGCAATTGGATCTGGGTGACAGCCAGCCGGAGATTATCCTGGGATAACACATCCCTGGGTATCTGACCTGAGGTCAACGCACTTGATCTTTCTGCATGCCAAGGGTAACAGTGAGGCTGATCACAGATCTGCAAGCCCACTCATTCCTAATGCTGCTGTTACTGCATTAGGAATGACTTCATTCCAACTGGGTGCCATTAGTGACAAACAGCAGCAGCATGTAGCTGCAATGTGGAATTACTGGCACCGGGATTTGCTGAAAAAATGCTGAAGAATAAAAACAAATTACAAAGAAACTTCTAGTACACAGTAACATGCTAGATTTGCTACTAGACATGCTACACAGACTAAATTCAACATCATATCAACCAGTTCACTGCCATGAACTGTATGAACACAGTGTAAAATACAGCTTATTGGAAACATTAGCAGAGGTGAGCACAATACATATTGAGTATATTCTTTTAACTTTCAACGACCACCTTTAACCTCTATTATTGTCTTGTGTCACTTGTGCCTTTGTATTTTATTTGTAATTTGTCTTTCTTTGTTACCTGCCTAGGGACAACATATGGAAACTAGCACTTCTGCTATAATCTGGCATTTATACAGCTGTAATTGTTACAGCTGTTAATTAATATGCACTGTCTCTAACAAATAAATAAAAACTTAATTCATTTAAAAACGTGTTCTAATCTGGGAGGACATGCTAACTTAACTATATGCTTTATGTTGCTCACTGCACACACCTGTAAGACCCCCCCCCCCCTCCCCCTCTCAGGAAACCAGTATTGGAAGAACATCACACAAGAATAAACTTAAACATTACCAATTTGAAGTTTGTCTTTTTAAACATTGCAGTTGTTACATATTTACAAGAACTCACAGTAAACCAGTCAATCAGCAATTTCACAGAGGTTCCTCTTTTCTGTACCTAAAATAGTGAACAGCACATTTCTTATGTTTTACTTGGTGTCTCATGAGCAATACTTCAAACAACACGATGGTTTTAAATGAATCATCAAAGCCATTTTGTTCCCTCTGACACGACACTCACGACAACAGCAAAGACGAAGATTCAGAGATTTAACTCAACAGTTTTTACTGCATAATGTCGAATCCTAGTTTGTGTTTAATAACATAATGAACACGGCTGTCTGGTTCAGGGGGAACACGTCGGCCTAAGGGTTAAGCAGTGGGTAACGATTTTCAAAACAACCTTTGTATCAGAGAAGAGCTAGCACAGGGTGCGTTAGCCACACTTAGCTTTGCAAAACGACAATAAGGATAGAGATTACGCAGATTTGTTTTATACAGGTCATTTCACGACAAGTCGTTTCCACAGTCGGGCAGATAATTTGGCTCCGAAGATGTGAAGAAAGGCTGTGTTGTTTGATGGGGGAAGGGGGATGCTGGAGCCAGGCTTCAGCGGCCTGCTTCATCTTTAGCCCTCCTCTGTAACAGCACATTTAACTTCTAGATAACACCACTATCCTCGACACTAACACACTAGGTGCTGACTTACCTGACGGGTTGACCGCAGTGGGAGTCGCCATGTTCCTCAGATGTAATATATATAAAAAGCAGCGATGGAGATTGAGCACAATAAGGCTAGTGAGCCCCCCCTGTGAGACTGTCGACACTCCGCTGGATTAGCACGCAACGCCCGGTCCTACCGATCACATCCGTCAATAAAAAACAACAACAATCTGATTCAAACGATTTAACAAAGGCTTTTTTCCCTCACAGTAATATTACCAGTGTATTGAATGGAAATGTTCTTCCAAACCGCACTTTATAAAATGCAAGATATAAAATGTCTGAATGGAAGCACCGCGAGATTTTGGTATGCTTGCGTGAATAAATTTAGATTGGTGCAGTGATGGAAATAATGTAGAGATGGCCTGCATGGTGAACATGTGGGTCTAATGCTGCCTATTCATTTAATTGAGACATTTTTTTATGCTTTTAAGTTATATATATATATATATATGTGTGTGTGTGTGTGTGTGTGTGTATATATATATATATATATATATGTGTGTGTGTGTGTGTATATGTAGATGTATAGAATAGAATAGAATATAATGACTTTATTGATCCCAAACTGGGAAATTGTGGCGTTACAGCAGCAGGTTGTCCAAACACACAATATGAGTAAAAAACACAATATTAGCTAATTTAAACACAATATAATATTAAATACAAAGTAAATAAACACTAAAAATATCAAAACTAAGAATGAGAATATGTACAACCAGGATTTAACTAAACATTACTAGTCTTAAATATGAAAAGATTAAATATGGAAGATTAAATGTAAATGTGCAAAAACAGAGTCATAAATGGACAGTATTGACATAAGTTAAAGTGCATAAGTGTAGACATATTATAAGCAGAAACTATTCAATATAACGGAGAGTAGACAGACAAATGACTGAACATGAGTGCAGGGATAATTTGTGAATTGAACATGTGCAGAACAGATTACAGTATGGAGAGACAGACATTATCATGATGACAGTTCTCTGCTTGCATGAGGTGAGCTGTTGTACAGAGTTATGGCCTTCGGTAAGAAAGATTTGGTAAACTTATTTTTTTAAGGTTGGAGGTTCGATCCCCAGCTCCTGCAGCAACATGTCCGACGTGTCCTGGGGCAAGACACATTTGCTTCCTCTGCTTTGTCGGTGGCATGTGCATGTGTATGAATGGGATAAGTTACTTCTGCTGAAACCCAGTTGGAGGTGGAGCCAGGGAACGATCAGTAACATAGGATGATGCAAATTCAGATTCTTCAAAGACATCTCTGTGAAATTGATGTATGCCAGATATCCTGAAACATTGATTGGATGTTGGTTGGGGTTGCAGCCAGTCGGTCGGTAATGGCTGCAATTCTTGGAATGTCATATATTGACATTTTCTAGTGTTGATGTGCTTCATTTTTTTTAATATACTTTATTTTTCATTTGTATTTTACAAGACACACAGAAGAAGTGAGGGCTAGGGCAAGACAGTATGAATAAGAGCAAATACAAGAATGTAAAAGGCACAGGTAAACAGTATAATGCATGGTACATTTTAATTATTTAATTATAATTAAAGTACATTTAATTATAAAATATATATATTTAGTAGTCTTTATGTTTGTATAAATCCCATTTTCTCCAATATTCTTCTCCCTTCTCCTTTTGAAGTCGCAGGACAAAAGTCATTTTTTCCATAAAGTTGATGGAAATCTTGATGTTCCTTAAGAGTCTCATGGTGGGAGGGTTTCTCTGAAGCCAGCGACAGAGACCTTCAGGAATGTTTCCAAGGTAGAGGGATGTAAAAGAGACATCCAATGTAATGTTCAGAGTCTGAGATTAATAGTCTCACATCTTTAAACAACTTAATGGTAAAGTTAACACTAGCTTAGCATCTATATAGATACAAAACACGTCCTTTCTAAAATGAATACACATAGTATCAACGTTTATACTTACAGACATTGCATTAGCGTGCAGGAGTAGAAGAAACATGTGAAACTACTGAGCTATCCAAAGTGCTGCAGCCAACTCACTAGCTCATGCTCTACTATTTTACTTTCAGTTTGTGACAGGAAAAGTAAGGTAGATAAATACAAGCAAACACCACAAGGTGGCACTGTAACACAACAAGTAAGATGTCCTTAAAGGGATACTTCCACCATTTGCATTGAGCTTTGTATCATTAGAAACCTGGTCATATTTTTGAATGGTCGTGCATCCCGCCCTCATTTTACCCTGAGATGGGAAATCTTTGTATTTCTAAGTCTGAAAAGGAGCTTCCAGTAACGCAAAATGAGGATCTTTGCGTCATCCTCTGCGTTGATGTAAAACAAGTACAGTAATTTAAAAACACAAAAAAATTGCTGAAAAATAAAAAGGAACCTGAATGAACGTTAGGGTGTCTGAGGATCTTTGCGTCACTGGAAGTTGTTGTGGTTAGCAGGGTGAAACTACAACGCTAGTTTCTCATATTTTCGACCACTGAAGCTACAGACCAATCACAGATCAGTAGGTGGGAACTCACTCCCAGAATCGAAACTTAACGTCCGCCATATTGCTTGGAAGCTATGCTAACAGGCTCTATGGAGAAAGCTGATAATGGCGAAAAAATCTAAATATAGCAGCAAGATGGTTGCTGCTGACAGGCTGGTCTTGCCGGTCTTGTGACACAAGACCGGCCTGTCGGCAGCAACTCGCGGCTATATTGTTATATTGAGGCCAGACATGAGGCCTGCCTGTCAGCGGCGGTGAGGATGAGGAGCCAGGGCCGGCTCAAGCCTATGGACACAGACATAGAGTCTGTTTTCTGACAGGAATTTCCAAGATCAATTCTGGAAGAAATCTCTGAATCAGTTGAGGAAACGGTCTTATGTGTTGAAGTAAATATGTCAGTAAATGTTTTTATTACTATAATTCTACTGCTATATTGTATATTTTGTAGAAACTGTATCGATCAAATTTCCCTCTGGGATTAATAAAGTATTTCTGATTCTGATTCTGAAATCGAGGACCTTAGTGGGAGTGGCCTGCGGTGCTGTGCATTCTGGGATTTGGTGTCTTTCATCCACATGAGCCAAAAAGACACTTTCTGCCTTTTCTCGGCCAAGAAGGCACCAACTTCAAAATGTATTTCACATTTCTACTACATATATGACCCAATGTCAATACAGATTCATGTTTCAACGGGTGAAGTATCACTTTAAACATTACATTGTATGGGGCATAACACCTTGAAGCACCTGATCCATGGCTCTTTGCCAGATTGCTGGAGCAGAAGGAACACCAAAGACGAGCCTGATGTACTGAAACAGTCCTTTACGAGTGTTGATTGTGAGGAGTTTCTTGTTGGATTCCTCGACCTCCGTTTGTAGGTAGGCTTGTGCTAGGTCGATCTTTGAGAACTTCTCCCCTCCTGCCAGCGATGCAAAGATGTCGTCAATACGTGGCAGTGGGTACTGCTCAGTATGCAGCACAGGATTGATGCTCACTTTGAAGTCTCCACATATGCGAACAGCTTCAGCCTTCCCTTTCTTCATCACAGGGACAATGGGCGTCGTCCAATCACTCCATTCAACTTTTGACAGGACGCCAGAGGCCACTAGATTCTGTAGTTCAGCTTCCACCTTTGGACACAGCGCATACGGCACTGGACGGACTTTGTGGACTTTTGGAGTTGCGTTTCATCCAACTCAATTCTTGCCTTTATCCCTTTTAGGGTGCCTATGCCTTCTGCAAACACCTTCTTGTGAGTGTTGAGTAGCTGTGACAGTTTCTCTGTGGCACTGTGCGAACTATCATTGTCTGTTCGAGCCAAATGTAGAGCTTTAATGGTCCTCAACCATTCTCGGCCGAAGAGTGGCCCTCCCTTTTTCAACACATACAGCATCAATTGCAGTGTTTTACCCTCATATGTCACTTTCACTTTCAGTTTACCTGCGGGGCGCACTTTTTCACCTGTGTAGGTCTTGAGCCGCACGGAGGTCCTCAGCAACGATAAGTTGAGGAACAGTCGCTAGTAGTCGGCTTTTGAAATGACAGACAATGCTGACCCTGTCCATTTTCAGTTTTATGCCAGACACATCTGGAGTGATCCAAATCATTTCCCTGTCGTCTTCCTCGGTTATGTCATGCAACTTCAAGCAAACCAGCCCAATACTGTCAGACTCTGATGTTGATCCACTTTCACATGTTGTCACATTATGCACATGTTTACCTTTGTATCTTGGCTTTTTATTTTTGGTTGACTTTTCTCTTTGTTCTTGCTTGTTGCTGGATTTCTGTCTGCACACTCTCTCTATGTGCCCGGTTCTGTTACGCTTTCTGCAGTTTTTGTTCTTAAACCAGCAGTCATTTGCATCATGAGATGTTTTGTCACATCTGTAACACTTGTGTTCTTGTTTTCTAGTGTCATTCATTGACATTTTGTGTATGCCACTGTCTACAGCTTTCTTCTGTAGCTCCAAAGCATCCTTAGCTGCTGTCTCCATTGACACTGCAATAGCCAGTGCTTTTTCCAGTGTAAGATCTTTCTCTGTAGCCTTTTCTGTGTAATTTGACAATGCATGCCACAAACCAGTCTGTCACGCAGAGCATCAGAAAGTCTTGCTCCAGATTCACAGAACTGAGTCAGCCTGCGTAATTCAGCAACATATTCTGAGACGCTTTCATCTTTAGACTGGTTCCTATTGTGAAAACAGAATCTCTCTGCTATCACAAGGGGCTTTGGGCTCAAGTAATTTTTTAATATGTCCACAATGCTTTGAAACGTCTGTGTGGCAGGCTTTTGGGGGGCTAGCAGGATTGAGCAGGCTATATGTTCTAACACCTATTAGGCTGAGGAGTGTGGAAACTTTCTTTTCATCCTACACGTCATTTGCAGTGAAGTAAAGTTCAGTAAGGCCCTGCTCACACTTGAATTCTTTTTTCAACTCAGCTGTCGGTGCAGCCGGGATCATTCACCTGCATGTCGGTTCGTGCTCTTCGCCAATTTGTTGTGTCTGTGACAACTTAATAAATAAAGACTGAGGCGGAGTTTCCACTTAGTATGATGCTTTACTGTAGAACGGCAGGTTACAAAGATGTGCAGCAACACATATGCCAATGTAATTAACTATGAAATGTGCTGTAAGGCACAAGGGGGTGATATAACGCTGCATGAATAAATAGTCCATACACTACACTAACTATCCATGATGTAAACCAGTAAAACACGCAAAAGCCTATTAAGATTACTACTGCCTCCACGACGTTTGCACCTGTTATCATTTAGACAATCTTTCTTTTCTTTTTTCAGCAGCAAATCGCACACCAAC